ACCGTCCTCCTCTTAGTTTTGTAAAATCCTCTGTACAATGGCCAAAGGATATCTACGATTGCTTTGAAAGCTAATCTTGAAGACAATATATCCATGATGTCCMTTGATAAACACAAAATGCAAATATTTACCTAATATTTATCACAGTTGTTCGAATAGGAAAGTTAGACCTTTGGTTATCCTATCATTTCAGTTAAAGTAGTAGTATATACCCCCACTTTATGTACCTGGATGGGATGTTCGTCTAGAGATGTTCATATTGGTAATGGTATACTGCTCAAATTGCAGACCCCTGTAAACCGACTATTTGCATTATATTTGAACCATAGGAATGTTGTTACAAATTTAATAGCGGCCAAACAGCATGAGATCAGCCATATATAGCTATAATAAGCAGTCAAGAGATTCCCATGATAAGTAGTTGTAGTATACTGATTTCTTTCCAAGCAAATAAATTTTCTTTATTTAACTCATGATACATTTAAAACACTCGTGATGCTGTTGGTAGAGGGCCAATTTCAATATCCTTAGCCTACAGAAATGCGTTTATTAAATAGTAAGCGTTTCATGTCGTTTCTTTCTTTTTCAAGCAAGTTCATCCCAGTAAAAAAAAAGCCTCTTTCATTCGTTTCGCATGGTCTGTTTGAAGGCCAACTTCAATGTCCTTAGATAGGTACGTGCCGCCAGCGGTCTAAATCCCTGACCCTGTTTAAGACACTAAAAAGTAAAAATCAATACCCTGTTCAAGACAAATCGGAAAAATAAGGAATAGCTCATGTACGCCGCAACCATGAAAACTGCAATTATACTGACATCCATCAAAGACRATAAGAAGTTTTTGATAACACGTTAATTCTGGGACAGTGAAACGGTATTTCTACTATTTCTACGGTGTTATGAAAATATTACCCTGTCCAAGACAAACAACAAAATTATATCGGTCTCTTTTATCTAAATTGTAGAGCCTGTTTAAGACAATTTCGGGTGAAATGTATACCCTGTTTAAGACAGCAAGGCCAAAAACCATACCCTGGCCAGCGGCACGTCCCCGTATAGCAAATATGTGGGAGTACCCCCTCCCCCCCCCGGGCCTTAGTCTACTGGGATTCACTTGTTAAATTATAGTCGTTTCATGTCGTTTCTTTCTTTTTTGAGCAAAGTTCATCCCAGTCAGGATAAAAAGCCTCTTTCATTCGTATCGCATGGTCTTCAAGATTCTTAAGCTTCGTCAAGATCAACTTTCCCTGAAGACAAAGCTCCGGTTCTATGAAGATGAAATCGCTCACAAGCGTGAAGAGAACAATATCAGCAAGACAGGGTTTGTCTCCAAACAAAAATTTCTTCTCTCCAAGAATTGCTGAAACAGCTGTCAGATCTTTCTCAGCTATCCTATAAATCTCTTCGGGTGAGTGACGTCCCATGCCGTGGCCATAGAGATTGGCTGTCTGCTTTCTTTGTATATACCAAAATAAAAGATACTTGAATGGGAAAAAAAGTTTGCTGCCGAAGAAACGGTTCCTCCATAT